CAGGGCAGTCAGAATGTATAACTCTGAATGACGTTTAATACAATACATCTCTGTAAATTACTTGTAAATTTGTTTAATTATTGAAGGATTATGGAAATGTTTATCATGGAATTTAATGGGAGCATTAGCAAAACTTATAATTTCTGCCTATTAGACCCAAGGAACTGTAGGCTCAGTACCAAACACGTGTCTTGGTATGAGATCAGCATTTACTAGTCTTAGGCAGGAATATCTATCACTATCTCAAGTGATTATTTTATACTTACTTGTTTTCTTGTTTCAAGTTAGTTGTTTTATTATTTCTAAAATGCATGCGAAGTTCTGGAGATATTAATTTTATTTTATTATTTTACTTTTCAGTGTGTTTAAAAAATTACTATATTTCTTCTTGTTCATGATATAACCATTTTTAAGTTTGATATTTAAAAAAAGGATTAAGCCTCGTCCCAATGGATCGGCTTATAATATAACATTTCGGTACGAACATATATGAGTAATGTTATAACAATGTTATATTTTCTCTTTCATATGGTTCTTTACAATAAAAAAAAATAACAACAAAATGTGTTACTGGTTGATAATTTTTCATTTCTCAGTTAATTGTACGTTTAGCAATTAATAAAACTACAATGTTAAATGAACTTTGAATATGTATTGTATATATTCCACTTCCCCTGAACAGAATCATCTTCAAGGGGCAGGACGTGAAGTGGTTGCACACTTGGTTCAAGCGAGCGAATTGGTTGCAAACTTGACAAAATGGCGAACACGGCGTAATTTTTTGAAACGGGTGAACGAATTTTTGCCAGGCAAGTTGGTTTCTTTGTTATTTTGAAGTGCATTAGTATGTCTATTCCATAATGCAATATATATATGCCACACTCGGTTAAAGGTTTCAGCATCCTAGATTCTGTTTTGACGAAGTTATTGAAGATATAAACTGATCATGTAGATATTTTGAAATTTGACATGTGACTGTTCTGGTCGGTTTTTCTGCTAATTTATTCGAATTTGTAAGTTTTAAACTGGATTTAACAATAACAAAATATGTTTCTGTCAATGCTGTACAAGTGGTTTAGTTCGCAAATCCGAAGATAACGTTCAATACACAAAAATATCTTGTTCAAGCACATTTTGGTTGCAGACTTATACTTCAAGCATTTTTGGTTGCAAACTTTTGTGTCAATAATGTGGTATGCATGTTTTTAGCGAGGAATAATAATCATTTTTTTTAAATAATTACCAATATTAAGGCAATTATACCTGTTCATCTAATAAGAAATATATATACAAATTGTGCATGCGTGCAGCTATATCCTAACACAGGGTCTTTCAAATAGATATATAACACAATATGCTAAATTGAAGTTCAGTTTTGTTTATCTTCATCATTTTTTCTCCTCGATATACTTCCTTTCTTTTTACAAAGTCTTAGGACTTTTTTATATCTTGGCATGAAAAGAAAAAAAAATAGCAACAAACAGCTTTCATTATTGTTCGTTTTTGAGATTTAAAATAAATTTGATTATATAGTAGGACATTATTCGCATGTTTCTTTAAATTGTTCCTTATTATTGACCAATCGAAACATCTTCCAAATTTCCTAACTCGAACAATGACTTTAAGTAGTTTTGTCACGTATCAGTCAATGTAAATAACCAATCGTTTATCAGTTATATTATGATCTAATTTAGAATACAAATTGTTTGATTGTTTGTTTGTTTCATTTTACGCCCTTTTCCAACAGTATTTCAGTCATATAGGCGGGTAGTTTCCTAACCATCGTTCCTGGAGAGTTACACCAGTACTAGACTACCTTCCTCCGCGCTAAACTACCAAAGCATCGAACCCACAGAGAGGTAACTGGATTAGAAGTCATCGACTCTAACCCCTCGACCACGGAGGCGGTTGAATACCAATTGACAAATGATATACATCAAATCCGAAATATTATAAACAATCATGTCATTTTAACTTTTAGTTTCTAAAAATATTTTAAGTACATTTACATACTTTATGTCTAAAGCAACTGCTGATCTTTACATACGAAACAAACAAATTAACATTTCTTGTGGTTTTGATAAACTTTGGAAATTTCGTCGAGTAACATCGTATGTGTGCACATGTCCTTATGTTTATGATGAAAATAATTCACTTACATACAACAGTACTCTCACATACGTTTGTTTTGTATGTAGTTTTCATTTGCATTTTACATATGATGACATATTTTAGAATTGAAGTATCAATAAATGTTTTTGCTATATGCTATTTTTTGTTTGCAGGCTTTTACTGATGATTATAGTATTGAGAACCATGTAATTTGAAACATTAAGTGTATAATTGTTGTAAAAGAAGAAAGAATAAATGACATTTATAACAAAAACAAGTAACAGAACATAAATGTCAATAATTGCCATTGAAAATATAATTTAATGATTACATTTAATATGTACAAATATTTGCAGTACATATTTTACATATTTTTCAATGTTTGAAACTTGTTGTTTTAGTATAATTATATAAATATATAGTTTCACGCAAGTGTTGTATACAACCACAATTACAAAACATACATGATCTTTAATAAATATGACCTTCTACACTCCTTTTGCAAAGTTTTACTATGGATTTCAATAAGTTTGCAACCAAAAATGCTTGAAGTATAAGTCTGCAACCAAATGTGCTTGAACAAGATATTTTTGTGTATTGAACGTTATCTTCGGATTTGCGAACTAAACCATTTGTACAGCATTGACAGAAACATATTTTGTTATTGTTAAATCCAGTTTAAAACTTACAAATTCGAATAAATTAGGAGAAAAACCGACCAGAACAGTCACATGTCAAATTTCAAAATATCTACATGATCAGTTTATATCTTCAATAACTTCGTCAAAACAGAATCTAGGATGCTGAAATTACGCCGTGTTCGCCATTTTGTCAAGTTTGCAACCAATTCGCTCGCTTGAACCAAGTGTGCAACCACTTCACGTCCTGCCCCTTGGATAATAACGTTAGAAATAATATAAGTTATGTGAATTTATCGACCAAAATGTTCATAGCATATCGTTATTATTTTAAAGTTTGTTATTGATAAAGTAAAATCTACAAACTCTACCAAAAAACTACTTCTATCTATTTTAAGAATATAACGGGGCCGTCACACAATGATGTTCTGGTCAACGCTCACTGAACGTTTCAATCGTTGAATTTTTGAGTTTTCTAGAATAAGGTTGACACATCTGACGGGTGATTAACGTGTGTCTACCGCATACTAGTAACTAGCGTGTGTCTAACGTAACATTGACCAAGTAAGATACCCTTGAAACCCATAAGCGTGTGCTAATTAACGTGCCACTGGCGCAGGACGATCGAACTATTTGTCAACGCCAGGCAAGCGTTGTGAGCGTGTGACTAACCCGTGAATAACGTCAGCATAGCGTCCTTTTACGGGCGAAAGGGCAAAAAAAACGCTGAAAACTTCATAGTGAATTCAGTTGTTTTAGTTTGAATAGTCAGCATTTATGACGCCAAGATAAACAATATACGCTCCAATGCAAATTTGTTTTAAGTAAATAAAATTTAAAGAGTTATCAAAAATAATGTTTAAACAGAGGATACATTACAATTGTCCAAAACATGTTTTATTATTTATTTTAAGATCTATACTGATACATGCCAAAGGGCTATGCTCTTGTCACATGAATACTTATTATATATGCCACAGCTTTCCGCTGTGGAGTACAGACCCAAGACATTTCACCAGTCATGCCCTTAAAAAGCAAATTTTGAAGCACAGTCCATGCAATTGTCACGGAGTATATATACTGACTGAAAACAACGATACAAATTCAAAAGCACAAAATAGTATGCCTAAAAATAATAATCGCTAGATTCTGATATAGTTATGTTCTGGGTCAGAATCTTGCTTCGTACAGGGGAGATATTGCCCATACAAAAAATAGCACAATATCTTATCGCTTAGTACAATTAGTGTAACTATAGTCCAATAGAATCAGATATGCAATCAACGATGAATAATGACCTTTTTACCTTTGTTTTGTACTCGGAAAAAACAAAACAAAACAAAAAAATCAATGCGCTGATAAGGTTGGATAAATTTAGAATTTACTTTGGGAGATATCAAGTAATACGAGGTATATTTATTGTTGAGCTCAATACTGAATTCTATTTAGTACACAGTTAGATGAGGTATATGAGTCTTCTGATATAGGTTTTGCAAGTCCAGTAAAGTCAGTATTGTTCTCAACAATATGTATACAATGTACTGGATTCTTTATTTCATTTTTTTTTGATATTTTGACAGAGCTCTGTTACTTCAAGAACAATCATGGGTTGATATAAATTCTTGATCCTGGAAATGGAGATGAAGTACAATATGCATTTTGATATAGATATATTGAACTCTGAAAATGGAAACGAAGCTAAATGGGGTGGGATTGATATTGATGTTTTGAACTCGCGTCTAAATTGAAATTTGATTCGATAGTGATTTCAATTGAAACATTAATAATAATAATATGAATTTCAATGGTTAAATTTTAAAGGGCGTGAGATAATGGTTCATATTGGGAGGTCACATGGTGCTAACGCTGGAAGTTCATTGTCTATATTTTCAACATTTGAAATAGAGTTCATTTGCTGCAATTTAAAAGATGTAATTACTATTTATAATTTCACACCTCATAAAATGTGACCAGTAAACTATACTTCCAATTGCATTGTATGATTTCCAATTATAAATAAATTTTGCCTCTTTTAAATTTCCCGAGTCCAAAAAAAAAAAATAAAATAGTATCCGTAAAATATGCATATTGTAGGCTTTAATGTACTACAAAGCATTGCTAATATTGCTTTATTTGGTGTTTTATCTTATTTAATAAGCCTTTTCCTTAAGAAATTTTGAGGTTGCTGTCAGTTATTTGTAAAATATTTTCACCGATCGAGAATTTTAAACATGTTTAAAAATCCCAATCGGTAATTTTTCACCGATAAAACTTATCTTTCCACAGAGCCATCGGTGATTGATCCGTAGTTCTTTTAGCCAAATTATGGCAACGTATTTAACACCGATATCACCTAAACCTGTTTTCCACCTATTAACTGCTATTGGGGAAAGATAAGTTTTATCGAAATTACCGATTGGGATTTTTAAACATGTTTAAAATTCTCGATCAGTGAAAATAATTTACAAATAACCGACAGCAACCTATATCACGAGATATGCAAGCTCTTAATCACCGATCGGACAAAGATAACCAAATATGAATCACCGGTCATATCTGAACCACTGATGACTAGCTATCAAACACCGATTAATCAGCGTTACGCCCGATTTAGTTCCGATTTACAAACGATAAAAACCGATAGTATTTCAGCATTTTTATCACCGATCCAACCCCGTTTGAGTTTGCTTTCTGTCACCGATGGCCGTTTACACAGAAAACCAGAAATAAAATCACGCATGACAACCGATCATAACAGCGAGTAAATTTAAAATTAAATGACCGATTGGGGACTGACCGTCTGTGTAAATGGCCCTTAAGTATAACTCTTCTATGGCCCTATTGGCACATGGAAAACCGAATGTACATGTATAATCCTCATACAATACTTTTTCATCAATACAAAACAAAAAATGGAAAACGGACTAAAGACTGTCAACAGCAAAGACAGTTAACATATGTTTTACAGCATAAAAAAACTGGATGGAATGACGTATCGCTGGATGAGATGGGACAATAAAGAGATTTAAATGTAATTTTCAAAAAATATATTTATATCTAAGCCCAAACCACGTCAACTTACAAGCACATGTAAAAGACATAATACATTTAATATGGCTTGTTAAAACAAAGTAAAATTACATTTTGAAATCCAAATTTAAATGCATTACATGTATAACGTACTTTCTTAAATTCAAGTATGCATATTTTAATCAACCTCGCTAAAGAAACAGTTTGTCTCCTTAAAAATGAAAAAAACATTCAAAAATATTGAATATGCAAAAAGTAAGCGAAGCATTACTAACATTTTTATTCTATTCTATTTGTAACTTTCTGTTCAGACACCTGGCTTGCATTCTACTAGAATTACTGATAATAAAAGCGTTTGAACTTAAAATAGACAGTTACAAAGTCCTGTTATAGCAAGGCTATTCCTAAAATAAAACAGCATAAAAATTGAAAACCAAGCTACATTAGAACTTAGATCAAGTGGATACAATGTCTGACTATACATTGAAAACAAAAGCTATATATACACAAGAATTACAAGCCGTATTTCGGATGATACTTTAAACTTATGCCATATGTAATTGTATTCATTCATACTTTGCATGGTCGAGAAGCGCTTGTTACTAGTATTTCTGGAACTCAGTTATGTTATTTTGTTGTTGTTGATGATGATTGCTATGTGACACACGATATATATGCAGTTTACTGGCACCTACCGTGTAGTTAGCAACAGCAAGAAATGTTTTATCCTTAGAAAAGCAAAGCGTGTACGGATCATGCATATCTATCTCGTATGTATGTAGTACAGCACCGTCTTGTGATATCTGAACTATTTTACCAGTCCCGTGACTACAAATGAAGAAGGTACTCTCGAGACCAGGAGCAATTCCTGTAGGAGTTTTAATTCTTTCATCCTGAAAAACTATTTGCGATTTTTGAATAGTATCGTAGATATATATTTTGTTTTCTTCGGCATCTGTTATTGCGAGGACGCCAGTTTCTTTATCAAAGGCATTGAAGCTATCACCCAATTTCCACTCTTTATCAGGAAAATTGACATCGAAATCTTTTATTTCTCCGTTTTTATACATCAACGCTGCAGGTTTATTACTTGCATACGTTCCTACCACGAACATATCATTGTTGTATTCAGAAAGAGAATCTACCACTTGCGGTATTTCGATTGTGTTCATACGGCTACAAATATCGTCATCATTAACATCAAATGTTAATAACTCGGGCCCATTGGTCACAAAGACATTTTCCATAGAGATACAAAGAACATCTAGCAAAACTGTATCATGAATATAAGTTTTTGTAATCTCAAGATCTTCATTCATTACAACGATTTTCTTATTTGCATTATCAACAGCAATTAATCCTCCATTGGGAAGGAAATCCAATCCAGTATATAGAGGTTCTGATTCATTCTCAAGAGAAGATTTTAAATCAACAGACTTTACCTTTTCCATTTTGATAATTCTATGGTCGGGAATTTGATTCGCATCTATTTTAATGTCTTGACTTCTCAATTCGCATTGCTTAACTTCTTCAAAACAAGAGGAGGTGTTTGCATTTTCTGATGTTACATCTAGATATTCCAGCTGTTTGAAAAAGTCGTCACATTTTGCTGTTTCTTCAGTTAATTTCGTTTCCTCCTCGTGCAAAGCAATGAAAAGTTGGGCTGATGTGCCAAACTTTCGAGCGATATCAATCCGTTTAAAAGAAAGGACCATTGATTTCTTGATGTCTTGACACTGCATTTTATATGATGTGTATTGCTCCGTTGCTCTATCACGCAGAACCATTGCCTCTTTCAGAACTCTAGCTCTTGATTCCTTTAACATATTAATGATTTTATCTTGTTCAATGACGATATTATCGTCAATTTCCTTCAGCTTTCTGTCCAATTCTTTTTCCTTTTGATCGAAGAAGAAGTCGATGTTGACTGATTGTAGCTGCAGTTCTTTGATCCTCGATAGTAAAGACTTTTCCTTTTCCACGTTATTTTTCGCTGCAATATCAGATATTTCGACAACCTCGTGGCATTTCCTATGTTTGATTATGGCACAGGAACTGCAGCAAAGCTTATGTTCATCTTCACAGTAGAATTCTATAGGTTTCCCATGAGTGGTGCACTGGTCCAGGTCTGCAGGAAACGTTTTTATTTTCTCTGTATCGTCAATGCGAACGATTTTGTGAATTTTCAAATGTTCAAATATATTATGGGTGATTTCGCAATCAGAGCACAACCTTCTTTTACATTGAATGCAATATTTTGTGGCAGGTGTATGCTTTGCTTTTAATATACAAACTGTACACAGGTCGTTGTCTACAATTTGTGCTTCAATAGCATCTTGTAAAGCATAATTAACTGGCAAAGATTTAGACCATTCTTCCACCGGAACTTCGTTTTCTAATTTAGGTGTAACTTTCCGACAGAGTGGACATTCTATTCCTTTTTTAAGATGGTCTTCGTCTTTCTGTTTTAAGATATGCTGATCGATGCAACTTTGGCAGAATGTATGAGCGCATGCCAAAGTCCTCGGATCACGGTATTGTTCTAAACAAATACAACAGCAAAGTCCCATATTCACACGCGAATCGGAAGGATGCAGCGTGTCCATTTTCTACCAAACTGTACACTCGGTATCTGAAATAATTAAAAATAATGAGTCTACCTGATTTTTCACCTGATGTGTGACACTTTAATTAAATCTACACGTTATATCTAATGATTATACATTGTAATACATTAAAGACATGTTAAGCCTCATAAATTGGTACGTAATAAAGGTATAAATGTTAAAATCATATATCACTCAGAGAAAGTAGCGTTAAAATGTGAAATACGTAAACGCATGGGTATTTTACTTCCTAAACTATAAGTTTACTAATGGTTAAGATGGCCAAAAAGCAAGATTGTTTAGCTAAAAGGGCAATGGATACCGTTTAGGAAACTGTAAAAAAACAAACAAAGAGACATTAACTCAAACAAAACAACAACAACAAAAAAGAAGTAAAAAGCTAAAAAAAAACAAAAACAAAAAAAACAAACACATATAGCATTTATGGGCTAAATGGATCACTTTAAATCATATATTTTATCATAGTTCTTTTATAGGTATTAATTCATATTTGAATACCTAAATTACGTTATCGTATGTTTCCATTGCTATTTACTGCTTCTACATCTTTCAAAATTGAATATACTATTAACTACGATGCTACATGTTTTCTTTTTTGATTTTTGATAACCAAGCATTAAAACATAAAGTTATTTCAAACATAAGCAGTGTAGGCTGTTCCAGGATTATGTTCGGTTTTGTTTTATTTGTATTTAGCTCTGCTTTCACCGCAGTTCAGAAATAAACATACTGGTAATTTATAAATTTTCCCATGCTCCAAGTAAATTCCCATATTTTAAGACAACGGAGAATTACGTCCATTTTATCAGTATCATCTGCGATATAAAAATAGAGCATTTCACAACTACTCATTTCACTGTAGCATTCCATTAAAAATATGACTAACATTAAACTTTTCTGAAACAACAACGGCAACAACAACGGTAACAGCAACGTCAACGTAGCAATTTAGCTTATTATTTTTCTTAGAAAATACCGAGCTTAGTACAAGTCCAAATAAGTCAAAGTAATAGAAAGAGCATCGAAACACGAGGCTATCTGATTTGCACGAGGGGGCGCAGCCCGCGAGTATTAATCAGATTGCCGAGTGTTTTGATATTCTTTCTCTTTTGTATCAAAGTCAAACATTGCATAACAAAATCACGTTCCGTGTTGTCACAATATGAAGAACATTTGAATATGATATTTCTGTCGCTTTCCCTTTCTCTGCCGTCACAATATGTAAACCCCAGCAAAAATGAGCCAATCAATGGGTATACGCTCTGGAGTGCGGTTAAGTCATAGAAAGAGCACAGAAACACGAGGTTATCTGATTTGTACGAGGGGGCGTAGCCCCCGAGTATTAATCAGATTACCGAGTGTTTTGGTGTTCTTTCTCTTTTGTATCATAGTCAAACATAAAAACACGTTCCCTGTTGTCACAATATGAAACCCCGGCAAAAATGAACCAATGAACGAACATCTAAATATGATATTTCTGTCGCTTTCCCTTTCTCTGCCGTCACAATATGTAAACCCCAGCAAAAATGAGCCAATCAATGGGCATGCTCTGGTGTGCGGGTAACTAATACCCGCACTCCAGTTAACGCACTGTGCATGTATATGTATACGATATAACCCTGACACATTTTCAACAGAAAAGTCTCCAAACTATGATACAACTAATACCTAACGCACTGTGCATGTATATGTATACGATTTAACTCACAGAAAGGTCCCCAAACTATTATACAACTAATTTTAAGTACACTGCGCGTTAAAATATTATGCTTTTTTGTGTACAGGCTGTGCTAGAAGCGACACAAAAATAGTTCATGTCAAAATATTTTGACTAAAGTCCAGATATACCACACTACAGTTCAGTAACTATTATATGAAACTTTGTAATTCATCCGTGTTTAAGTCTATGGACAACTTAGGCATTTAAAGTGCCGAATACGCCATGCAAATGTGAACTTTGTTGACGATATCAATTAATGATGAAATAATTGAGTGTTAAAATGCACGAAATAACTTCTTACATACCTATACTTGTAAAATGAGCGTGAAATATCCCCCTTTACCATCATAAATGTTAAACGTCAGTACTTTCCCAAGTTTAAGTAATCAAAGCACTGAAAGTACTGTTGGAAGGAAATTTTCATAGACATTCCCAATGCGTGTGAATTAAAAACAAAGGAACAGGTGCAAGCTTCAATCTACAGCTTGCTGATTTGATGACGTAAAATGTGACGTCATTGTTTCCGTTTTTGCACTACTCATGTTCAGTGGGCTGATAACTAGTTCTTGGCCCAGGGCCCCAAACCCATAAGTTGTGACACTCATAATCAGTTGAAATCATAGGCAATTCTGTTACTAATATAGTAATAAGTGAATTAATAGATAATACTACTGCATTATGAACACAAAGAACCACTCAGTTTGACCTTAATCGGCCATGACTTATATAACTACTTCATAGGAATTCAAGACCATGCCATAAGCATTATTTAATCATAGTTAATGAAGAGACTTTTTATTTTAAACTCAAGGACAAGAAAAGCTCATCATATGCTTACATTTGTAAGTTCAAACATAACTAATTGTGTTTTAGTATGAAATTGATGTACATGCTGTTAAAGTCATAGCAAAACAAAGAACAATGATTTAAAATAAACTTTTATTGTCAAAACTTGCATAAAAGTAAAAATATATGTGATATAAAAAACTAGAACTCCGCGAGTCGGATGTGTCGCCTTGTGAACAATGTAGTTTAGGAGAAATGGCCAGGACAAAAATGAAATATGAAAAATAACAAAGGGCAATAACTAAAAAATAATAATGGCAGAGCAGCAGTTCCTGCGCACTGCACTTCTTATCAATAAGATCTATCATTCTATGATGTTTCAAGTCCATAGCTTTCATACTTGAGGAGAAATGACCAGGACAAAAATAAAGTAAGAAAATCAACAAAGGGCAATAACTCAAAAAATAAGAAATGCAGAGTATGTGTTCTTGTGCACTGCACTTCTTCTTAATGAGACCTATCACCCTATGAAGTTTCAAGTCCATAGCTTTTATACTTAAGGAGAAATGGCCCGGACAAAATTAAAGTATGAAAATAAACAAAGGGCAATAACTCAAAAAATAAGAAATGCAGAGTACCTGTTCTTGTGCACTGCACTTCTTCTTAATGAGACCTATCATCCTATGAAGTTTCAAGTCCATGGCTTTTATACATTAGGAGAAATGGCCCCGGACAAAAATAAAGTATGAAAATTAACAAAGGGCAATAACTCAAAAATTAGGAAGTGCACAGTTCCGGTTTTTGTGCACTGCACTTCTTCTTAATGAGATCTATCATCCTATGAAGTTTCAAGTCCATAGCTTTTTTAGTTGAAGAGAAATGGCCCGGACAAAATTAAAGTATGAAAATTAACAAAAAGGGCAATAACTCA